GGTTCAGGGTTTAGGGTTTAGTTTGATCACTTCAGGCTCTCGGTACCCATAGGCTCCATAGTAGTTCCTTGTTGGGACTACCTTATAAAATAAGCCGCAAAAGGAACTACTATGGAGCCTATGGGTAGTTAGAAGGAGGAATGAAACCAGGAAGGCCTGCGGTGGTGCGGAGTATAGGCCTGAGAGTGTTGGGCCCAATCCAACACCGGGTATAAGGCCGGCAGTTTGTTGGGGTTCCACATAGACTTGTCGAGCTTGGGATTCATAGACTTTCAGTTTATGCAGTTTACAGTTCACGGTGAGGGCTTAGGGATTGAATGATCTTTTTCCGTGGATTTACAGTTTCGGGTTGAGGGTCTTCGCTTTTTGTCGCCGTGATGGGCGGATGACATGGTATCTGGAGGGAGTAGCCCTCTTCACCGGTAACATCAACACCAAAGGGCTGACAGACTTGATAATCGCGTACTCCCACAATACTAACCTGGCAACTACACAAGAACTGCCACATCAACCACCAGTAAATCAGGGGCATTTGCATGTACAAAGGTGTAGACCCATCCACATTTCTCCGTTCATATTTTCTATCTTATGCTTGCTAGCGAAAGCGGAGAGCGAGAGCCAGAGAGGAAGCGAGAGAAAGAGAGAGAGAGAGAGAGACAGAGAGAGAGTGAGAGTGATAGAGAGAGAGAGAGAGAGAGTGAGAGTGAGAATAAGAGTGAGAATTAGAGCGAAAAAAAGACAGCGAAAGAGAGCGCTAAGTTGAGAGAGAGCAAAGAGACAGGGAGGAGAGAGAGATCATTGTCAGAGATCACACGGAAATCCCAACCTTCGGCAGCATAGGCCGCCAAATGGTAGACAAAGTTGATCTTGTGGTCGCGAAAAATCGTCTCCAGAAGCTCCTCTGAAGAAGTTCGTACAAGTTGAGGCTCTTTTGATGATTCAGGCCCTCACGCCACACACTACAGTCACTACTGTAGGAGCCCAAAAGTTGGAAACCAATAACCTCAATCCTTAAGAGCAATGTATGAGGAATCGCAGCACTAATTGGCTTCCAACTTTTTGGGGTTTGCTCTAGTTCCAAGCCATATAACCATTACATTACGGCTGTGGGCTGAACAAGTTCACTCGAGTTGCGATTCATTCGGTGCTTAATTGCTAGTAGGTCTCCTCGGTCTTCCCGAAAACCTGAAGCCCAACACCACAAACGCAACAGTTCAATCCAAAACCCCAACCCAAAGAATAGGGCTGTAGGGCTTGATAGGTATAGGGTTTAGGGTTTGGGGCTTAGGGTTTCGGGCTTAGGGGCTTAGGGTTCATAGGGGTTGGTATACTACGACTCATACTAACCAGCCCTGCGGTCGGCTGGCTCCTTAAAGCCCGGTTTAGGGTTTAGGGTTTAGGGTTCAGGGTTTAGGGTTTAGGGTTTAGGGTTCAGGGTTCAGGGTTTAGGGTTTAGGGTTTAGGGTTTAGGGTTTAGGTTTCGTCAATACGATCCTCTTGGGCCCAACACAGGAAAAGCTCAAATGTCGCACGGCCGACAACCGACAAAGGAAGAAAGACTAGCCTGTCCCTGCCCTATGCTCTACAGCATAAACCCTTAGACCCTCAACCCTAAACACCAGGCCCGCATATCCTTAACCCTAAACCCTCAAGACCCTAAACACTAACACCCGAAACGTAAACCGCTGAACCGAAACGCCTAAACCCCACATCCGAAAACCTCCCCTAAGGTTCCTCATACCCTCAGGTGCCTCAATACTAGGACTCCTGCGACCCTAGAATACAAAGACCCAAGGGCTCGCCACCCTGCCGAGCTCCCAAGGACACCAGGACCTTTAACCCTAAAAAGCCTTGAAATATGAGTCCTTTGAGGGTAAGGGAAACCATAAGCCCGAAAACCGAAGACCCTAAACCCTAAACCATAAGCCCTAAACCCTAAACCCCCTTACAGCTCTAAGCTCTGCTCCGAGGCTCGGCATCGCGGATATCTCCTAGCAGAGCTGTGACAAGGCCCGCTATCCCAGAGGGTCCCAACAAGTACCTAAAACGTCGGTTTTGGTGGTCTTTAAGTTTAGGGTTTAGGGTTTAGGATTTAAGGTTTAAGATTCAGGGTTTCGGATTTGGTTTTTTTTTTGAGGGCCTTTTTCCCACCGTACCGTGTCCGCAGGAGAGCCCACTAGGGCAGGCGGTCTACGAACCCCGCAAGTTTCAGGCGAAATCAAAACAGAACCCTCTACTCACTGAGCGACCGCACCCTTGTCAAAGCACCAGAGCCACCACTCAGTCGCTTCTATCCCTGTTGGACCGAGCCCGATGCCACCTTCTGTTGCCTCCTTGCGACTCACCTTGATCCTCCTCCATGTCGAAGCCATCATCTTCGTCTTCGTCTTCCGTATCATCACGAGCCCCCATACCACTTCCCCCAGCCATGCACAGCTGTCTCCATTCCTCCTCCTCTTCATCCGTCTCCCCAGAACGAGCAGCCGATTTGTCGTCCAGAGCACCTCCCGGCACATCACCCTCTCGACCCTCCCGACCACTGGAGTCCGCCGCCAACTGCAGCTCCTGCCCACACCCTGCTCCCGCTCGGCCAGAGCCCGAGTTCACCAAAGCGTCCAGGATCGTTTCAGTCGTGGTAGTCAAGGGTGCAGGGCCTTCCCAAGGGCATGTGTCCCCATCGTGGTTCAGGACAGCCATCTGTGTCTGCAGCAGGTCCAGAGTATGCGCCCCAAACTGCTGTTGAACTTGCATATTGGAGATGACCCCCTGCTTCCATTGGTCAAACAAGCGCTGGAAGTCCTCAAACTCCATCGGGACACCTTCACCCACAGGCTGCTCGGCGAAGACAAGCGGCCCTGGGCACTCATCGTCGCGCCTGCCCTCCTCAGGTTGCTGCACCTTGACCGTGTCGGCCTCGCTGTCCACGTCCACAACGTCCGTCTCCATGCCCGTCCGAAGCACCAAGTGAAGATCACCATGACTGGGAACCCACAGCCTCACAGTAGACGAACTCGCTGCTGCACCCCCAGACCCTGCTTCAGCCACCGAAGACATTTCCACATATTTTCGTTTTCGAGGTACAACAGGCGGAGCATTCATGGCATTAAACATAGCCCAGTCATCCCAGGCTTGACACCTTCGCGCTTTTGCTGTGTCATGTTCCACCGGCTCAAGAAGTGCAGTGACCCCTTCCATATACTCTGCCTCTTCACGGAGAAAGCGGTTCACATGCTCCTCCTCTTCCTCCCGTTGACCCCTGGCCACACGCTCATCCTCCGCCATCTCATTGACCTCCGCACTATCGACTTCATCACCCTGTGTTGGGGTGGACATGAGAGTCAGAGGCGGGACTGACGAAGACGAAGCCATTCCTGCAGATGCCCTTGGCCCACCAACACGTAGGAGAGCCTGCCACCAGTGCCATGTCCATTCCTCGACCTCCTCAGGCTTCGCTGCAAAGCCCTCCGCAATTTCATTCCCAACCGAGGAGCTGGTCGCAACACAGAGAGCGTCCACATGATTGAGGAGTTCTTGCCCCAGGTCACCACACATCGCACCTCTACCCTCTCCCACCCGTACTCGTAAGCTAGCAGCTCTGAGCCTCGCAACCCCAGGTTGACATTCTTCAAGAGCTCTTTGAAGTCGCTGGACAATGCCGGAGGCCGGAATCACCTCCTTCTGAACAAAGCTGCTGTCATCCCCAATAAGCTGCCCTTCTTCTGCGACTTCAGACCAAATCTGCAGCATGAGAGTACTGTCCTCGTCCTCATCATGCCCATGGTCTTCCACCAAGACATCCACCATGGAAGCAGCATGTAGGATTTGCCCCAGTTCAGTAAGGAGGGCTCGAATGGCCGTAATCAAAGCCAATGTCATGAAGGCCTGCTCCTGCGTGTTGAAGCCACCAAGGACCTCGTGCATGTACTCCGCTCGATCATCCGGTATGAAGGGGCCTCCTCTTGCCACCGGCGGGCTGGAGGGGTTCCCAAACGAGGCAATCCCTAGTAAGTGTCGCCACACCTCCAGTCCCTGGTCCGTTGTTCGAGGAGCCCTTGGAAACACTGTGAAGTCAACATTCACCGGAGCTTCCGTCCGCAGCAAGCTCGAATTTGATGGGTCCGCCGGGTCCCAAACTGAACGTGCAGGACGCCGAGAATCTCTACCAGCTTCCCTGCTCGCCCCACCAGCCTGCCTGGATGAAGACGCCCTTGCCGACGTATCTGGCCTACTGGGCCGCGGTGGAGTTCGCGAACGTCGCCTCTCTCTGCGACCTCTATCCATCAGTGTACATTCGTCACCCTCTTCATCCATACGGAAGCCAGACGGGTTCGCAACTCCGATGGCCACATCCATGAGACTCCCAACATCCCCAGGCCCCGCGACCACGTCAGCGGAGGGCACCACGGCGGGCACCACCCCTTCCGATGGTCGAGGCTCACCAGAATCATCCACACCCGATGCATCAGGTGAGGCTTCAGAGACCATGTCAACTCAGTCGCCGTCCTCACCCGTCTCTACATCGCTTCTCAGCAACATGCTGTCCTCTCCCTCCGGCAAAGCGGAAGGTCCAGCAGCAGAGCTGGCAGCACCAGGATCCACACTAAAGTCAAGAGGAAGAACGAAGTGCCAGTGGGCCGGTGGGGCAATATCGCCGACCCCTGCTGCAGGGTGAGGGTCAACCTGGCCAGGTTCAGCTTCCACTGAGGAGGGTCTAGGCTGGCGAAGCAACCATAGCCTCACAATCTCAGCAGCCGTGCATGTTCGTCACCCACACGTCAACCCCTTGACTATCCCTTGTATGCTGCGGCCACGAGGGAAACTGCATCTCCCAGACCGGATTCATGAGCTGCTCCGCAAAGAGAAGTGCAGACGGGCCGTGGTCCTGCACAATGCAGGCAAAGAGGCGCCGGTACGCCCGCGCCCGCTCGCTGGCCCCTCTAAGTTCATGCCATCTCGCTGCCACTTCAGCTCTCCATGCCTCGGTTCGACGCCGCCTCGTCTCCATTGGTTCATCCGGTGTAGCCGACGGCTTTCCACGTCTCTGCATCCATATCACCTCCTCACTCTCGTTGTCAAACCGGAGAATCGGGTAGCCGAGACGGTCCTGTAGGTTGACGCCCCGCCGATCTCCGACAGCGTCCGGCGAATCAAGTTGAGCGTGAAGATCCTGAGCCGCACCCTTCGCTGGCATCGCGCATCCAAACAGGAAACAAGCCATGAAGCAACGAGGCATCCCTGCCATACCCAAAACACCTGCCACACTCCTAGAACAAAGCCACATCACGTGGCCAACACGGAAAGTTCGCTAGCGACTAGCTTCCCTAAGGGAGCTGAGCAAGGCACTGTGCAAAGCTACGGCGAGACTGGGGCCGAAGCTGCATCTCAGGAAAACCTTCACAAGCAGCAGCAACCCTAGCTCCCGCAAACTCTACCTCTCGCTCACTCACTGCCAGTCTTGAAGTTTAGTTTGTCGTCCACTGGCCCAAGCCAGATCCATCCTATCCACCCACCTCTGCTCCTTCCCTTTCCAAGCCCCCCTGTTCTGTGCAAGCACCCTCCACTCCTGCCCAGCCACCTCATCCATAGCCCTCTCCATGTTCATCAACCTGGGGTAGTGGCGGGGGGTGGCTTCGGCCCCCGGTCTGATCTGCTCAAGTTCCCACCATTTCAGGGTACGATAAGAGTCAATGTGGGCACTAATGGGTGGGTATTCTCTCAGCAAGCACCTCGCCCTGTGCACCGAATACCGCCACCACCGTCGGAGCCAGGTCGTGCTCCATCTTTCAACCCCCGCTCCATGCATCGCTGCCCTCGCGCACCGATACGACCTTCTGCGAAAACCCGTCCAGTCTTCGTCGTCGTTTCCCAAGCCGCATAGCCCAGATGGTGAGTTGCAGCTGAGCCGTGTTCATGAGCCCCATGGCCGATCTGTCTGGCGGCAGGGCAGAAACACACCACAAAGCTGTGCCTCCGAGTACCGTGGACATGGTTTGAAGCCGGCCCTTGAGTCCTGTCTGTGACCTGAAGATGTGTTTGAGCGTCCAAAACTTTGCCCTGGCCCTGGCAAGGAGCGGACCTACCAATTCACAGGGAGTCATTCCAACGCGCATTGGGATCCCCATGACTTCCACTTCCGACACAGCCGAGACCTTCTCACCCGCAATGGTAATGTACTTCCTTACTTCCTTCCCTTCCAGTGCGGGGAGCAGAGGAACTGACATTTGGACCCATTCAGCCTCAGGCCATACTCGGACAGAACAACCATGAGTTGCCGAACCCTCTGCTCAACCCTGTCAGCCCCTTTGGCCCATAACATGCCATCATCCATGAACAGGACGTCATTGTACGGAAACCCTTCAAAGACATCAGGAGCATCATTCCACCGAAACTTATCAGCCGCCTCCTGGAGGCAGACCTCCGCCAACATGGCGAAAAATCCCGGGGATTCGACTCCTCCTTGCTTGATCCCCCGCGTCATGGTAACCAGCGAAGACCCCCAGGGTGACTGTAGGAGGGCTTGACTTTCCTGCAGCAGGGCACGCCAGCATCGAAGTTCAGAGCAGTCCCCCATACGGTCCTTCAGGCGCTGTAACAGTTTTTCCCGATGTACATTGTCGAACGCCTTAGCAACATCCAATTTGACCAAGCAAAGCCCTGCATGCCACTCACGTTCCAGTTCAAGGACTCTCCACACTGTGAACATGTAGTCCGATGCTTGTCAGCCTGGTCCGGCACACCGACTATGAGTGCGTGCTGTGATGTGCTGCAACGTTCTGTTTAGTAACAATCGGGAAAAAAGTTTCGAAGCCGCCGACCCCATGGAGATGGGCCGTAACTCTTTGGCCAGTTTCGGCGAAGCGATCTTTGGCAGTAAGACCATCAGGGGAACATTCCAATCCTGAGGAACCTGATGCGTAGCAAGAACTCGATTGAAGAACTCCAAGATGTGCTGCTTTCCACCCGGAACTCCCACAAGCCCCAAGAACAGTTCTTTGGATGTACCATCAATACCGACTGACTTGCCTCCTTGCATCTGTCCCCAGGCCATGTCAAACTCTTCCTCAGTAAAGGCTTTCGTATCCCCCTGGAAGATCCCTTCGTTGGGCAAAACCCTGTCCCCTTTGTAGACACTCTCCAAGTGGTCATGAACAACTCTGTGCGGGTCCTCACTCTGTTCTGCCGAAAAAGCATGCTCCCATCCCGTGCGATGGTTCTCCTTGCATTGGCGAAGTGCAGACCAATCTCCTTGTGCCGCTCGTGCAACCCTGTCGTGCTCCCACTTTTTCCTAGCTACCTTCCGGAGCCTCCTGACTTCACACCAATCCTGCTTAGCTCTGGTTTCCCTCGCCCTCGCAATGGCTCTCTTAACATCGTCTGGGTCCCTGTAGCCGTCGCCCTTCTTGGGAACCGTGCATTTGGCGGCAAGGTCTGTTAGCACCTGCTGGTCCACAAAGTCAATCTGGTCGATCCCTCCTGTCCACACTCTGGGCCTGGTGGGGTGTCGTCTGTGTGTTCTCTGGACAGGCAGATCAAAGTCACCCTGGAGGAGCTCATGATCAGTACCCAATACCATGTACGAGTCCACATGCACTCGGAAACATCCGCGCTGAACCCTCGACGTGCACATGTAATCAATGATGTGACCCTGTCGGCCTTCTTGCCGAGGACGACTGGTTGGGACCGCTCTCTGCGACCGGGACGGCGCAAGGACTCTAAACCCTTTGGCCTCCATCTGACCCAGAATCTCATTTGCTTTCCCGTCCCTTCCCACCGGCAACAAGACACTGTCGAAGTCATTCCACCCCAGAGGGGCATTGGCATCCACCTGACAAATGACTGGGTCCCTACCCGAAGGGGCTCCCTTCAAAAACTCAGCAACCTCCTGCTCATACTGCGCATGTGTGCATCCCGGGGTGAAGTGCGAGGAGCCCACCCAAATCGCACATCCTTCAGCCAACCCTTTCAGCCTAATCCAGACCCACCTCGAAGGATTGAAAGCAACCCCCGACCCTCTCCAGGCCCCTGTAGCACAAAAGGAGAGTATCTCCAGAATCCCCTGTTTCTCTGTGTTCCATCCAACCTCGGTGCGTGGCAGCTCTTGTAGCACCACCAGGTCACTCTCTTGGAGAGGTGCTTTGCACCCTTCCCTGACAGCTCTTGCCAGGTCCGACACATCACATCCACCCACATTCCATCCAAAGACCCGCAGCTTGATTTCACCAAGACTCTGCTCTCTCCCACACGACGACAAACTCCCTGTAAAACAAGGCAAGGTACTCGTAGAAGACGAAACAGCGACCCCTTGTCGGCCTCCACTCCATGCTTCCTGGTCTGCACCCTGTAAGTCTGCAGGCCTCCGACCCTCTACTCGTGAAAGGTTCGAAGACACATGAATTCTCGGCCCAAGTTCCTGCGCCAAGTCCCGCAGCGCAGATAGCAGCTCCTCACTGGGCGGCCCTAAGTCTCAGCGACGACCCTCTTCCAGCGCCACCTTGGCCTGTTCCGGCGTCTTGACTAGCAGTCTGCCAAGCAACCCCAGGTCCACCCAGGGCTTGAGAATATCCGTCTCATCACGCCACACATGACGGTGGTCATGCTTCGGCGGGATGGGTAATCTCGAGCTGCAAAGCATTCCATCCGGACCCCACGCTGTTCCCGTTTTGTACTCGAAGTCAAGCTGGTCCTGCGCCAAGCTGGAGTCATAGGACGCCACCACGCGTTTGATCCACGCAGCATGGGAGGCAACCTTGCGTTCCTCTTGGGACTTTGAAAAGTTGCACCAGAGCTTGCCACCAAACCTGGATATCGGATTTGGGGTTTAAAGTTTAGGGCCTTATAAGTACAACCCTAAAGCGGGAGCCTAGTTTAAAGAACTACCCAGGACCCATGTGCGAAGGCCTTGTAGAGTAACAATCCCAAAGGGTCCTAACTACGGAAACAACTAGGATGTTGGGTTTCCATTACAGGAATTACTATTCTGCTTTGGCCTACTTGGGGGCTCATGGGACTTATAGGAAGTAGGCTTATAATTGGGGCGCTAGAAGTACCCTAAGCGGGGTTATCCCGATAATGACCTGTAAGGACGGGTCCACACAGGACCTACGAATTTAATGTAGGGGCCTTCATATTTAATTGGAATGGGGTTTTGGGCCCATTATACTATAATTATAATAAAGACCCCCCCAAAACAGTATTCGTAGTTATTTAGGCCCCTTTCTTAAACCCTTAAACCCCAAACCCCACAAACCCTAAACCCTGAAACCCCAAACCCCAAAAACCCTGAACCAAAACCGTAAACCGTTAAACCCCAAACCCTAAAACCCCAAACCCTGAAACCCCCAACTCTAAAAGCCACCCCCAAATAAACCCAAACCCTTAAACCCCAAACCCTCAAAGCCCCTAAAAACCCCTACATCAACCCGACGACCTTCTGGGAAGGAGGCATGAAACTCACCGCCCTTGCCAGCAGCCGTGAAGCTGAAATCCTCGGGTTCAGTTTAGGGTTTAGGGTTTAGGGTTTAGGGTTTAGGGTTTAGGGTTGAAACTACAGGTGGGGAGTTTAGGGTCTATAGGGCTTCTATAAGGCTCCTATAATGGCAACTACCCACCTGAAAATGTCCTAGATTCAGAGTTTAAACGTTTAGGGCTTTTAGGGTTCAAAGGTTTAGGGTTTATATAGGGGTTAAGGGTTCAAAGGCTTATAGGGTTCAGGGTTCAAAGGTTTAGGGTTTATAGGGTTTAAAGGTTTAGGGTTTGGGGTTCAGAGGTTGAGAGTTTATAGGGTTCAAGGGTTTAGGGTTTAGGGTTCAAAGGTGTAGGATTTATAGGGTTTAAAGGTTTAGGGTTTAGGCTTTGAAGACATTGGGGTTTAGGGTTCAAAGGTCGGGGGTTTATAGGTTTAGGGTCTATAGGATTTAAAGGTTTGGGGTTGAGGCTTTAAAGGTTTAGGGTTGAGGGTTCAGAGGTTAAGGGTTTATAGGGTTCAAAGGTTTAGGGTGTAGGGGTTGAGGGGTTTAGGGTTTAGGGGTTTAGGGGTTGAGGGTTTAGGGTCTAAACCTTCCCAGAGGGTCCAAGTGCCCAAAAAGTGAATAAAGGGGCCGTACTAATTTGAATGGGGCTTTGGGGTATGTTATACTATACTTATAATAAGGCGGGCACTAGGACTGA